ATTTTGTAAAACTGAAGAAGTTCACTTTGTTTCCTTTTGTTCCAACAGAAAGAGTCTTGCAAGTAAAAATTACCACCAAAATAAATCAAATCAGACCACAACATACGGTTAAAATGTTTTCTTTGACTTAAGAAAGAGCCCTGGGAGTCAATATTTGAATATATATAATAATATATATAAGTTAAAGCACAAATCAAAGCGTGCCCTGCTCATCTCTCCAACTCCCTTAAAGCTGAGGTATCTAACTTGAAAAACCATAATTCAAAGTACATAATAAAATCCATAAGTAGCTTTCAAAACAGTTCTATCATTAGTTTTTGTGTGCATATAAATAGGGCCTCTGTCACATCTGTAGATCCAATTTTTCAGTCAGAAAAGTAAGTAAGTTAGTAGTATTTATTTATAAAGCGCCTTTCACAGACCAGACACTCTACTATTGTTGAGACCACTCAGAGATGGGAACGGGGTGTCCATACAGGAGGCGCATGCCAGACCTATTGTACAAGTTTTTAGGTGTAAGGGAAACTGGAGCACCCGGAGGTAAACTACGCAGACAGGGGGAGAACATGCAAACTCCACACAGAAAGATCTGGAGGTGGAATAGAACCCAGGACTTTCTTGCTGTGAAGCCCAAGAGCTAACCACTCTGCCACTGTGCCGCCCCAGTAAAACCAAGTTTAGGGAGTTTTTTTTTTTTTTTAATCCGAATTTGAGAACATTCTGACCATCTTAAAACAAGATAATTCAAGAACTGGTGCTTGCTTTCTCATTCGAAGGAAGACATTTCTTGCATCATTTTAAAACTAGATCATTGTGCTTTGTCCTACTGGCAAATATTGTTATAGGCAGTAAAAATGTGATCAATTTAAGATGACATTTTCACAATCTTTTAATTATCGCTTTGTGCAGTGCAGCCTCACTCAGTCAATTATCTGAGCCCACAATGTCAAATAGTGACTCACAGGGCTCTTTCTTTCAAGTAAGACTGTATGTTGTGGTCTCATTTGTCTGCAATATTTTACTTTCCCAATTTTTTTCTTTCCGATGGGATTTGACCCAATGGAGTGACATCATGAGGACCAGTGCACTTTCTTTTGAAGTGAAGTGCTCTGTTCTAAACCAATCAGAGAGTGAGGTCTCCATTCCATCCCCATAAGTCACCTCCATCCCCTGCGTTTGTGACTCGTTGTGCCTGTTCTCCGGCAGGCCTTGGCTCCTTCCTCCACTCCTGGTTCACACAGTGGTTTCACACAGGTCTAGAGCAGGTCTGCGAGAGGGGCCGCGGCTCCAGGAAGGGCCCATTGTTACTGTGCGCTCCCTGTGATGGATGTGGCCCTTTTCCTGTTTGCACTTTCTCAGGAGAGCGTGTTCCCAGGGCTCGGGCATATGACGTGAGGCCGTTGTCCAGCGTGCGCCGTGGTCCAGCTTTTGATTTTGTGTGTTTTTTACCACAATTGTGCCCTGGTCAAAAACCGAGCTGGTGTTGCGGAAGCTTCAGCCACGATTATACATGGATTTGAATACACTAATTTTCAAGATGAATTTATTCTTACTCTGCATGCTGTGATTAATGTTCTTACACTGTGTATGTTTCCCACAGGTGCTCTAGTTTCCCCTACCTCTAAAAGCATGTACAATAGTCTTCCATAGCTCCCTCCCATACACCACTTCAACCCCTCTCTCCGATTCCCCCGAAACAAATTCTGCATTCTCAGTGTACTGCAAAATTGTACTTGGCAAAATATATCTATATTTGAGCACATTCTGACTGCCTAAGATTTTTCCAGTGGGACACGCAGAATTCTTTCTTGGAATTAGAAAATAACTGCTCTTGAAATAAGACTAAATGGCTTTGTCCTATTGGCAAGTCTTGTTTTATGACAGTCAGAATGTACTCAAATTATGATAACCACTTGATTTAAGCATTTATTACCTCATATTTTAGCCTTCGGTGCATTTGTCGGTGCTGGAGGAAACCGGAATTCTTCATACTGAGAATAGAATGCGTTTTTATCAATGAATTTCTTGAGTTGGAACGGTTTGATTCTCTGTGTTGACTAATCCAACGGTTGTGTAAGAGATATCTACTGTTGTGAGTCAAAAATAACTTCTGGCCTTTTTCCCATTCAATGAAAAAATACCCAACGTTAATCCATCTAATCAGGGCAACGATTCTACAAGAAATGAACAAACCAGATAAAATGTTACTTTTGCTAATGATGTGATTGTTGAAACTTAGTCATTTAGGTTCAAAAGGACCAAGTGCATCAAAATCTATGGAGGACCAAAAATGACTAAAGTATAAATAAATAAATAAATACAGGAATCTATTAATAAATACATTCATTTTGGACAATAAAAACTAAATATTTACATTGATGTGTTAAATATTACTATGAAATCAAATAAATATACTTTTATTTAGGTTATTTATCAATATCTACATTTTGTCCTTTATTTATTTATCCATTTATTGCATATATTTATTTATGTATTTCTACATTTCTTCATTTATTTATTTATGTATTTCTACATTTCTTCATTTATTTATTTATGTATTTCTACATTTCTTCATTTATTTATTTATGTATTTATGTGTCGCTACATTTCTTCATTTATCTATTTATGTATTTCTACATTTCTTCATTTATTTATTTATGTATTTCTACATTTCTTCATTTATTTATTTATGTATTTCTGTGTTGCCGTATGCTAATTAGGTGGGCGGGGCTGAACTCAATGATGGGTGGGCAGTAGGGCAACCAGACAGAAGCAAAGTTAAGCCTAGCGTACATCGACAGAGAAACTGGGGACAACTAGTTGCAAGGCGGCTTTTGGCAACTGAGAGGAGATGATGGAGATGATCAGTTGCCAAAATCGGTCGATGTGAGCGCTCTTACAACTGGAGATGATCAGTCGGTCTCCAGTTTCAGTCAGTTGCCCGTGTTCTACTTTTCGGCAACTAGTTGTCCTCAGTTTTTGAGACATGACCCGATGTGCGCGCTCCATGCGCCGCTCCGACAACGTGTGTGTATTGCGTGTATTGCGAGCCCGCAACAGTTTATGTCAGAAAACACACTGTAGTTGAGGCCAGTTGCTGTCGATGTACGCGCTGTTATTCCCGAGACTGGTCTGCTACTGGGAGTTGCCCGTTTTCGTCAGATTGTCGATGTGTGCGGGGCAGCAACTCATATGCGACGGATATAATCAGTTGCCAGTCCGATGTACGCTAGGCTTTAGCCTTCTCGGTTTGTGAGAGGATGTGAAGCTGCTGTATAGCTTGTTGAAGAGCGTCCAGCACAGTTGCATCAAAGTCTACCTCTGGGTCAGCACTGTGATGAACTAAAACATTTAATAGTCTTTCCAGCCGAAAGAGTAGATAGTCCTCAGGTGCATTATGCTCAACATCATTAACATCATTTGCTAATGCTCTTAATTGATGAGCAACGGCTCCTAAAAAACTTACATTCGAAACTGCCATCATACCACACAAAAAGTGCACAGAGGATCTCTAGCTAGCTAACAGAGTACCGTAATGTGAGGCAGTAATGATCGAGACCAGAGTTCACGCAATCCTAACCAATCCTGTTCTAGATTGAGTTCAGCACCGCCCACCTAATTAGCATACAGGAACACAGAAATACATAAATAAATAAATGAAGAAATGTAGAAATACATAAATAAATAAATGAAGAAATGTAGCGACACAGAAATACATAAATAAATAAATGAAGAAATGTAGAAATACATAAATAAATGAATTAAGAAATGTAGAAATACATAAATAAATAAATGAAGAAATGTAGAAATACATAAATAAATAAATGAAGAAATGTAGAAATACATAAATAAATAAATGAAGAAATGTAGAAATACATAAATAAATATATGCAATAAATGGATAAATAAATAAAGGAAAAAATGTAGATGAATGATTGATAAATAACCTAAATAAAAGTATATTTATTTGATTTCAGAGTAATATTTAGCATATCAATGTAAATATTTAGTTTTTATTGTCCAAAATGAATGTATTTATTAATATATTCCTGTATTTATTTATTTATACTTTAGTCATTTTTGGTCCTCCAGGACAACAATTCTACAAGAAATTACCTAAACCAGATCAAATATCACTTGAATCTTCCATTTTTAATTCAGACATATAAAAAAGTCCACATACAACACTTAAAAAACAGACAACACAAATTGAGACAACACACAAACACAAAATATTTACAAAAGCCTGTGAAGAAGATGGACAAAGTGTGGGATCGTGTCTTTAATTCAGACAGAAGACAGGTTTTATTGTCAATGGTAGAGACAGCACAGACAAAGATATTACAGACTGCAAATGATAATATACAGCGGAGGAATGAACACCGTCCAATCAGCTTTCGCCGCGATGCTTGGCCTTCAGAAATCAAAACATGGAAAAGTACTGGCTTGTGCATATTTTTGAATGATGAGTTAGACCTTTAGCCACAGCGTCTTCCAAGTGTCATGAAATCTCTAAACCTATATAGACAAAAGTAAAAGAATCCTACAAGAAATGACCAAAATCACATCAAATATTTCTCTTATCCATAATCTTTAATTCAGACATATAAAAAGATTCTTATAAAACAAATGGACATAAAAACGTAATAAAAATAGAGACAAACGCACGATATTTACACAATTCTGTATTGACAAAAGTACAAGAAATGACCAAACCACATCAAATATTTCTTTTACTTACGAAGTGCTAGTGAAGCGTGAAACTTGGTCATTTGCGTTGCTCGGTGCATCCCCTAATGGGAGTTTAAATCAATTTGAGGTTTGTCACCTTTTTCATTTTGGATGATGGAACATTCCAACAGACAAAACATTGTAACAAATGGTCTCTCATTAACAACACCACATTCAAACCGCTCTCAAACCCTGGCGTCTATCTATTATCAGTTGACCAGCCAATACATAAATCTCCTTGAATGATGACCCGACGTTGGTGATGTTAGCCATTTCCTCCTCCTGCCCCTCCCCATGCCCAGGAGAAAGGCCCAAGAGCTGCCTACCAACCCCCTCATCTGCTCCATGGGTCTTTTTTGGAGACCTGGGACCATCAACATGACAAAGGCAGGGAGCAGCAGAGCTTTTCGAAGGCAGATCCTGTGTTTGTTAAGTGTCTATGGGCCCTGGAGAGCTGGAGAGAGGCTGGAGAGGGCCGGGGGGTGGTCCGAAGAATGGACGCAGGGCTTTGATCACACAATGGACACAGGGGCTCACTCTGTTTTGGTATGATGTTGAAGTGAAAATGATACCAACCGTCGTGAGTCGTGAGTTATTTTTAAACAGGCAAAACTTTAAGCACAAAACATAATGTGACGTGTTTTCTCCATCTATGTCTATATTTGCGATTGTAACTATAAAAGACAAGAGGTATACTTATAAGGTCACTATTGAGATCCAAGAAACTTCAGAATGGACTTTTACTAACACTTACATTTACACTATGGCCCGCACAGAAAACAACAATTCAAATCAATCCCAATGATCACCATATTTAGATTTAAAAAAGTGTTAGGAATCAGCCAAAGTCAGGGATTGTGTCTTTAATTCAGACAGAAGATATGTTTTATTGTCAATGGTAGAGACAGCACGAACAAGAGATATTACAGACAGCAAGTGATAATATAGCATGGAGAATCAGAGACCTCCAATCAGCAGCTGCCACAGTGTGCTTGTAGCTTGGCCTTCAGAAATTAAAACAAGGGAAAAGGACTGGCTCGTGCAAATGTAAGAATGAAGAGTTTGAACTTTAACAAAAGTTGCTTCAAAATGTCATGAAATCACTACAAAAGCAATGAAGCTTGAAGAAAATGACAAATGAAGAAAACACTCTTAGCATCGTCCATAGTAACATACTGTATCTTTTGGCGTGTTAGATACAGTATGTTAGCTTCAATCTTCAGACCAAAACATCAAGTGGAAAATCACTGACTTCTGCAGACTGTTGTCATGACGAGTTCAGCTCTAACATCATTGCCTCAAAAGTGTCATAAGATCTATAAGCTCTCCATCCGCTTTCAAGGAGAGTAGCTTCAGCGACAGACTTATATTCATCCTTGCTGTATGAAGAAGTGGTTCTGTGGGTCTTTCCTTCCTGATTCTGTCAGACCGTACAACAAACCATGAGGACTAACGAACACTGCCGACCTGACCTCACATGCATCGGGTAGAGATTTTATACTTCTATATTACGCAAGTCAGAGCTTTACTCATTATGCCAATGCTAGAGATTTTATACTTGTTTCTTTGATGCTAGACTTAGAGACTCGAGCTCTGGTGTGTGCTATCAGGTGCACAATGGGATAATCTTGCAATTTTTTCTCCAATGTGCTTTTACTCCGAAAGGCAAATAAATCATTGATTCTTGAATCTTATGTTGTGTGCTCCTCATTCCTACGTATCTGTTATTGGTGCAACACTGAAATTTCCCCACTAAGGGAGGAATAAAGGTCTTCATCTTAAGTAATATTACAACGTCCAAATGCTGCCTAAAAGAACTCATTAATACTATTGATCTCTAAGATTGTGCACTAAAATAGGAATCTTAATATTGACTCCATTAGATTGGATTTCTTGCAACTAGCAGGAGTAGATCTCAGATTTTTGGATTTGTGATAATAGATTTCCCGTGGGAAAAGGTAGTATATCATGGTTCTAAGACATGCATCTGCCCCTTCTCTCACCCAGGTGTTGACCCTTGACCTTCAGTGCTTAGAAAACGTATTCATACCCCATGAACTGTTCATCAGGCAAATTGCAATTTGCCGGATTAAGGTCTCAGGACCAAAACGTAAAATTTTCCATTAAAATGTTAATCATTTTGATATAAAAATATGAGGAAAAAACTGCAACGTTGGCCTTGCAGAAGTGACTGAGGGCAACCCAATTGCCTTTCGAGGTTTCCTTGATTTTATGATTATTTCATCCTCAGAATTGACATAGCAACTCCCACAACTATGAAACTACCATATTTTTTAAAAGATGTATTAAAAGTAAGTCACTGCTTCAACATCACTGACCACAGATGGAGACACGAGGCCAGTGGGCTGCTTTTCTTCAACAGGATTAGAGGGGAAGAGTGTCAAAGTTTACGGTGGATGAAATTAATTACAGGGCAATCTTGGAAGAAAATCTGAGTATTGAAAATTGTTCTTCCATCAGAACAATTTACCAAACAGGAACTTTGAAATAAAATTGACTAATGTATCCTAAGGGCCCAGTTGAAGACCAAAACTATCGTAAGATTAAGCAATCTGTTATTAAGAGATCCAGTGTTGCATCACCGGTTACACAACAGCAGCAATGAGGAGCACACAACACAAGATAAATGAACAATAACTCTATACTAAAATAAAATCTCTAACTTTAGCATAATAAAGAAACAAGTATAAGAACTGCTATTGAGCTGTTATGCACGGAGGCTGTTACTTTTTCAAGCCCCAGTGGAAAAATCCCACCAAATTCCTAATGCCTGTCTTATTGAAATGTTATGGCCGTGGGATTCAGGGGTCTCCCAGTTTGGCATTTATAATGAAACCTCTTTCGAACGACCAGAGCCTAGAGCAAGCAAATGACTTGGTCTTTAACCTCACTGTAAACTTACTTCCCATAATCATATAAATGGCTGTATATTGTCCCACAGACACGTTTTTGTTTCTTTTTTAATGGCTGCGTTTGTAAATGTGAGAGAATTCATGGAAACAGGACGTGAGATCATCCGCCGTCATAAACACTGTCATAAAGCACTCTATTTCTCTCTATTTCAGATGACTCTGCACTTTTGAGGTGGTGAGAGGTGAGGATAGTTGTGGCCTATTTTCTCTCCATTAGATTAGACTTTCAAATCAAATATGAAAAAAGTCCAAATGATCCTTGGACCTGGACTAATCCTTGAGGGGGAAGGGGAACGTGAGATATTTTGGGATGCTTTCTCTGTTAAAGATGCATGGTTTGACACTGCTGACTCACTTCCCGACAAAAGAAAATTGCATCTACGCCAATATACAGTTTAAAAGTAGCAAAGGTGAAGCTTGTGCCTGTGTCTTTGAGTGAAAATCTGAAGCCTCATTCCCACTCTCTAAAACACTCTCACTTGTACTCTTTGCATTCTGAATAAAACGTTGTATGTACTGTATGTAACTAAACTAGCCAATCCAACTAAAACTTCAAGCAATATTTTTGAAATGGTTAAGATCAATGAAGTGACTAAAAGAATGATCCGCACGCCAGAAGCACAGTAAGTCTGCTTTAACACTAGAAACCCAGAGCAGTCAATTTGACAGTTTTTCGTTTCAGAAGTGCAGTAAGTTCCATCATGTACTGTATCTTTCTATATGTGGTTCATTTCTACATAATTATATTTTTGAATTTATCTCATTCTTTTCGCAGTCTCAGCTTTGAGCAAGTGCTACCATAACAACACAACGTTTACTTAGCTGTATTTTAGCATGCATTAACATGCTTCATGACATGTGAGGCGTCTTTGAGTGTCCAAAAAGCGCTATATACAACCAATGCATTATTATTATGATTATTAAAGATATAAACTGTAGGTATTACATTTTTATAAAAGTAGTGAAAAACAAAAACTATTTTTTTAGATTTTTTTTTTTCTTCTTTTTTTTTTAGAATGCTATTCTGTTTATTAGAAGCCATCACAATGAGGAGTTCTAGTTGTGTCAGAATGAAGTTACGGTCAATGCTTTCAACAGCTATGCAACTTGGCTTGGTGGATTATCTGATTCCTTCAAGCACAGAAATGATATCACGTTTTTAGACTATATATTAACACTATGATAACCATATTGACTAACGGCCAACAAAATAAAGAAACATGAGGTGCAGGGAAAAACAGAGAAGAAAATATACACTATTTATAGTGCTGTAGATAGATTAGATTCTGATTAGCCCCGCCTCTGTGTCTTGACTGACAGCTAATTATGAAGTCTGTTTTTTCCCCAGGACATATAACCCTCTTTCAAACTGGATTAAAGAAACATGAAACCCACATTTTGAATCTTTCAAAACGGTTTCCAAAGGTTTCTTTTTCCCTGCCACCCACTGTACTGCAAATTCTGCCATTAACACTCAGCTATAGGAGTCCCATGGCTTTCACCCTCAAGAAGCACTCTGGGTTATTCATCAGGAGAGCTGCTTAATATGGACAAGTGCACTAGGCTCCTCTCATCTGCAGGAAGTGTGGCTTATGATGAGAAAAGTCAAGTCGTGGCTACAGAAACATTATTCTAATACATGAGGAGCGAGAGATGTTGTCGTGTGGAGGAGGTCAAGTTCGTGGGGTTTAGATAAAAGCTTTTACCATGGTCGCTCATTTTTATTATCGAAATGTGAAAGCTATGAATTTGATCGTAGATTGTTAGCAGATGCAAGTATTTATTCGAAACGTTTATTCAAGAAATACTTTATTTGTCCCACATTGTAGAAATTTCAGTGTTGCATCACCAGTCACTGAACAATAGAAATGAGGAGCACACAGAGAAAAATGAACAATAACTCTATTCTAAAATAAAACAAAATCTGTAACTTTTGTATCAGAATCAGAATCAGAATCAGAATCATTTTTATTGCCACGTGAGTAATATGTGTATAATAAAGAAGCAAGAATAAAATCTTTAGCATCAGGGAAGCATTTTCCCTACAGAGTAACATGAAGAAAGGTACAGAAGTACAATTTGAAAAATGCAGTTTTAAAAGGGGTTAAACGAAGCAAATGCTTACTGGGCTACATCCCCTCCCACTCACTCACACAAACACGCACACACACACATAGACACAAGCGCAATCATACATACACACAAACACAAACACACAAACACAAAGATGTACACACACACGAACACACAACTGTGTAAATTTCTCCAGTGTGAGATCAATCAAGTCTATCTGAAATTATCTTTTCTTAAATACACTCAAAAGCACACATGGATCTTGTATTGAATTGTATCTCTACCCTTTTTAATGTACTTTTAATGTTTTTAACTTCTTGCTTCGTAATTCTTGCAGGGAAAACACATTATTTCGGTTCAATTGCAAACGCAAATCTGACTCAAACAAGGTGAGGCCTCGTTCACTTTTCTTTATCTACATAAGCTGCACATTCGCTTCTCAACATGTGGTGAAAATGTCAGCGTTTATACTTCTGCTTTTTTCTTAATTTGCTTTGAGTTGTTTTTACATCCTCTCCCACATCCAAAACAAATAGCTAAATATGAAAATTGTGTAGACATTAACGCCAAAACGGCAAGTTATATGAATTACTTATGTGCTTTTAAATATAGCCGTGAGTTATTTTGGGCATGGCCTCATTTAGCTGAGGCGAGACAATTTTAGGGTATTTTTGTGTCCCGAGTTTCTGCTTATCTGATGACAATGTCGCTATGTTTAACAGGCACAGATAAAAGGCAAGTTTTGCTGCAGATAGTGTGCGCGATAGCTTTGAATGAGAAGTTAAATATGGGACAATATGTTCTATTTGCGGTTTGCATGTGCGCTCGCTCAGAGGTGGTCATGGTTCTTTTGAAAGTTACACTGTGTTGAAGTGAAAAGTAGTTTTTCTCATTCTGTGGCAAGGAATGTTAAGTTGGCATTGAATTAACATCGAAGCAATAACCTTGTCATAGCGCACCTCCTCAAGAAACAGTGTGTCTTTTAGGGCAAGGTTATTAAAATCATGTGAGGACAAAGCGTCAAAATAGAACAAGGTTTTAATGACAAAAACATGCAAAAAGTAAAACTGGACTGGGCTTGCTGTAAGTTGAATCTGGATAAAAAAAAGTCAAAGATCAAAACTTGGATTCTAAGAAAACAAGCCAATAGAGTAAGTAAAGGAGGATACAGTGACAATCTGGCACATGGTGAAGGGTGAACTGGGTTGTAACTGCAGAGATGAAAGTGATGAGGATGATGAGGCTGCAGGAGAGTTTAAGAAAGAACCATTGACAGGACCAGGACCCCAGATACTCAGCCCAGCTCCAAGCGGACACAGAGAGGGGGAGTAGAACACAAAGGAAACATAATTATGTTTCTGTACATAATATAACAAATTAAATTATATTAGTCTTGTACTATTCCGGCATATTAACACACTCTTTTGGGCTCTGCAGGAGAAATAACAAAAATATAGTTCATAGACGTCTTATACTGACTGTGAATGTTATATTATTATTATTATTATTATTAGCATTATTATTATTATTAGCATTATTGTTAGCATCATCATTATCATTATTATTATTATTATTACAAATTCCGAATGTTGACGGAAACTCCCGAAGAGCGCGTTGCATGCAGGGAAATGACAACGCTCGACTCTCCGCCATCTTTCTTCTCCCCGGAGCCAGGAGGGCAAAATAACAAAGCACGTTTTAATGAATTTCTCAACGATATAATGTTGTTTTTGGGTTGAATCAGAGCCAATCGAACCCAAGTTTGTTTCGGAAAAAGCCCCCTGTCGTACATCGCTTCCACAGCCGCTAAACACGCCCTGAACAGCGGCAAACCCTGTCAACATGGGCCGCTCTCGAAGCCGCAGCTCGTCGCGGTCCAAGCACTCCAAAAGCAGCAAGCACAGCAAGAAGAGGAGCCGATCGCGGTCCAGATCCAGAGACCGGGAAAGATCCAAGAAGCGATCCAAGTCCCGGGAGTCCAAGAGGAACCGTCGCCGAGGATCTCGCTCCAGGTCCCGGTCTAACACAGCCCCCTCCCGCAGGGAAAGAGCCGCTTCGCCGCCAGAGCGAATAGACATATTTGGACGGACCCTGAGCAAGAGAAACGCACTGGACGAGAAGCAGAAGAAGGAGGAAGAGGAGAGGAAAGCCGAGATGGAACGACAGAGGAAAATGTGAGTGGATTTGTGGTTATTTTTGAGGGGGAAAGTGGAGGAGCTAACGGGCTAGGCTAGTTAGCTGGGTTTTACCATTACTTTGGCCTTGCGCAGGCTAATGCTAGGCTAAAGGCGTGCTAATGTTAGCATTGGGCAGGCCTGGTTTGTCTCAAGAGCATGGCTGGAATGACATAGTAGCCCCAGATTCATTTTAAATCATTAATAAACAGTTACATGCAATAGAGAGAGAAACATCCCATGCACACACAGCTTGCACACCAAGAGCACTAGATTTGAATTCGTGGATTTAAAGTTTGCACCTTCACAATACAGTTGAAGTGTTCATCAATCTGTTATTTGCTATTACAATATAATAGGTTTGTGGAGTAAGGGTAACCATGGAAAGCCATGGAATTTGACATTTGCAGGCTTTGGAAACGTTGTACAAATGCTTTGGACATGAACTATATTGTTGTCAAAGTCTATAGGAGAATTGAACAAAACTCTCCGGTCTTATTTGATGAGCACGTATCACCAGAATAATTGACAATTGGGAGGACCAATAATCTTGATGATCCACCCGGAACTAGAAAATCCTCCTACTTAAAGCCTGAAACTAAGTTCTGTTTTGCCACTATCAGCGAGCATCCCTGCCTGCTGATAGTGGCATTGCAGTTTCCATAAACTGCTTTTAAAAATGTATTTTGTCCATGGCTTAATACCAAACTAATAGCTAAACTTGATAAATGTGGCCTTCCAATCATGTCTGTTGTTATTATGTGAATGGTCAGGGTGGGTCATTTGCTTGTGCCTATATAATAGGCACAAGCGGCCTTAGGTTTAAAATGAGGCCGCACATCCCAGTAGCCTGAACTAGTGTGCTGGATTCAATAAAAAGTGCAAACTATGAAAACATAGAGAAATATCCGCTCAGTTCTACTGCTCTAAGTATCTTTTATTTACATACCACGATTGTAACGTTTTGGGCTCAGGCCTATACAATAACATGGGACATCATAACTTATCAATCTACATTGGAGGAAAGTCACAGGTTATATCTGGAGTGGCTCGTCTGCAGCTTAATGCTTAAAGCCATGACATTCCCTTTGCGTCGAACTTCACAATAGTCTTTCCTTTCATCCCAAGTGGAATCAGATCTGAAAACCTTGTGTGAAAACTGCTGGGGTTACAGGAGAGACAAGAGTTCAGGTTAAGGCCATTAATTAATGAGCCGTATAGGCAGATAATTCATATTGCATCTTGTAACAATTGGTATTCTTTATTTTTTGTGTTACTAGCTAGAGCCCCACGATATATAGTAAAAATATCGTTTTCGAGATATTGGTTGTGCGATATCCTTATAGAAAAAATGCGCAATAAAAAAACAAAAAACACATCAACATTTAACAAAAACTACAAACAAACAAACACACAATATATGCATTTGAATGTCATTAATGTTGGGCTTATTTTTTGTTATTTGTCTCTTGCGTTTCAATGCAGATTGCAATTTTAGGGGAAAGACAAAAATATCGGTCTAATTTCCAATATCATGCAGCCCTATTACTAGCATGCATGACATACCTGGAAATACAGTGGGGTCTGGTGTCATGGTGATTTAAATTCCACATAGAATCCAACACTATTAAACTTGATGCCAATGTCTATTATTGCATCTCAATTTAAATATCAAATTTAAGTTCAATCGTGGGGCAGATGACTCACGATTCTCTTAAGAGACCTACCACCGCCAAAAGGACTAACAAGTTGTTCTCAGTGTGGGAGGCATATTTCAACAGCTCTGGGTCATCACTGGGTTAGGCACAGGGTCACTCATTATGGTTGACGCTGTCCCTCATGAGACATACTTGGACAGCTGGGCAATTTAGCTCAAAGACAAATCTCTCTTTTAAGGTATAATTTATTGGGTCAAATTCAGAGGGAATGGGGTCTTCAGCTTCCAATGCTACCCTGAATTTTAAAAGATGGAAACTTTCCATGGGAATTAAGGGGAATAAACTGTGAATTTTCCAAAATTGAAGATTGGCTCTTCATAGGGAACTTAAAATACAGTTTAGGAAAATATGTTTTGGCATAATTTTGAATATAACAAACAGATTCCATTCAAATACACTCGTCATTCTTCGATCACATAGCACACTGCTGCTCAGACCACGCCCCTAAATCACATGTACACAAGCTTTAGACTGGTCATGACTTTTGAGCCCAAAGCACAAGGCTATAGAAGGCACACATTTGTTTTGATGATATTATGGGGAAGAATCTGGATTAAATGTTTCAATTGTAAATATCAAATACAAACATATAAATAAACTGATAAAAGTAATGCTCAAACCCTGGAATATTGTACCATGTGCTTTTTCTGGAAATGTGCTGTTCTTTGTTTTGGATTGTCAAAATTACTTCTACTGAATAAAAGCAGAGATTACCAGAAAATAAATAAATAAATGATCAATAACTCAATTTAAGGCTAACGGATTGAATGCATTTGATTTACTGCCTTAGCCCTAAGACATACAATTTTATATTTGACCTTTTTATTTTGCTGAACAAAATAAGACAAATAAGACACAGGCCCATGGTGGGTTAGCTTTGGTGATCTGGTTTGCTTGGGGTTGAATTTATCTGGTCACATTTGCAAATGTGCTATTATAAGTTCTCCTGTTGGTCAGCCTTTAGTTCTTCTAAGTTCATGATAGATCGCTCCAGATGATTCTTGTTTTCTGGCGTATCACTCTGAGTGGAAATATCACAACATTTCTGATTTGTTTTTTGAAACTGTTCATTTGTAAAAGGGAAAGTTCACCTGTAAAGGTGTATTTTCATTAGTGCTGTAATAGTAGACGTCTAAAACTCCAGTCTGATCGAGGACAAAAGGCCGACAGCTGCAGCCGCAGTGAAAGCTGCAGGTCAGGGGCTTGTCACTTAGTCCTGAACACTTGAGGTCTAGTCCCGACTCCTGACCCTGGGCCTGGAGTGTCCTGGTGATGAGTGTGGCTCTGTCAAACAGGACATGGTCTTTGTGTGTATCGTGTATTTGCCTTGGGCGGTACACACCTGAGGGGCTGCCCTGCTCCACACCTGCTCCCTGTACCCTCTGTATCCTCCGTATCCTCTGTATCCTCAGTGCTAATGGCCTCAGGGCCACTTAACATCACATTCACATGCAAACGTGGAGCAGGGGGACTGTGTGCAGATAAGGACAGACAGGCTCTGGTTTCTCACTGCTGCGCTGACCCAGTGAAATGAGATCTGAAGAGGCAGCCTGTGTTGTGACACAAGCAACCCTCCCGGCCTCCAATGGCTTCCTGTTTGGAGTCACTCTGAACAATACCAGTTTAATAAAAGAACAGGAACCGTTGTGCTGGCCCTCGGCTTGGATTATCAGTTCTATTTTAACAAAGTACTTGTGACGACACGATAACATTGTTTACTAACATTTTCATTATCACTCAGGAGCTTATGGTTTTAACATGTCCTACTATACTGCTTAATATTGTGCAGATTTAACATTTTGGACAAAAATTATTTAACTTTTATTGTTTTTATATTTTTCTGACACATATATTTAGCAGTTTTTGCAATACATCTTGAGTTTGCAAGCGCAAATGTTGTCTATCATTGTCCCTCCAGCAAAGAAGCTGGAACATGCATAAACCTGACTATGAACCCAATGCGTGTTCCCCACATATTTCACTGAGAAAGATCTTGCTTTCTGTAACTTTGCTTTTTCAGCACAATTTAGATCTTTGACTTTGTGCCGTGTGAAATCATCTGTAACATTAGATTTGTCCCCAAATTGAAATGGTTCTCTAAATATAAGCAAAAACCTTTAAGCTTATATTGTTAGTGGTTTGTGACCACAGGAGCCTCTGTGGAAAAGACCCCTGAGCAGAACTCGATCAGCCGCATCGGACCCTGGAAAACTGTACTCCTCACTGTTGTAGCCAAAATAATAACTGCAGCACAGCGCCTCGTGTGGCTCTGTTACTGGAACAGTCCAGACAGTCTGTTCTGTCGGCCACATTTCTCACTTTGAGCGGTCAGTCACATGAACGTGTGCTCTGCTCCTGCTGTTAGCTTTTCAATGTCTTCAGGCGCAGTGTGCAGGTGTTGTTATTGTGCGGACGGAAGCTTTGAAGTTGATACATGCTGTTTGAGGGAACCTGCTCGCCACTATGTCATAATATTTAAAGGACTAATATTATCCAAAGCTCACCTTTTGGGGTTTTCACCATGAGATTAGTTTTCAAAAACAAATAAATTCAGTTCAATATTGTGTAGCCCTAAATCACAGCTATAGTTATCATCTTAACAAAACTGTTGAGAGTCTAACAGTTCAAACACAAGAAAGGCAATGCTCTTAAGGGTCACCCTGGATTGGAAGGAACAGCCTCACGAAGAGCGGAGTGCCGAGGAGACTTCTGCTGCGGTGTCTGTAAAGTACAGCCCATAGAACATGTTAGAAGCATGTTATTGTCTACAAAGGGTCAGTTACTTGCTATGGTCCGACCTGCTGAGACGAAAACCTTGTGAATGAATGTGGACTGTTGTGTTAAGCAGATTTTAGGTTGCTGCTCCAGAGGCATTGAAGGATGCGTAGAATGCAGAGGACACATTTCCCTGTAGCAACAGTTATTTCAAAGTACCAAGCTGTACTGTTTGAAAGGCCTGTGCAGTGCTACCGAATCCTCATACCAACATATTTGGCTTCTCCAGGTCTAAAACGTATTTATTAAGGCTAATTTTCTGAACTCTTGGTGTTTTTGTGTTGCAGTCGGCAGCAGGAGATCGAGGAGAAACTAATCGAAGAGGAGACGGCACGGCGCGTGGAGGAGCTTGTGGCCAAACGCGTGGAGGAGGAGCTGGAAAAGCGCAAAGACGAGATCGAGCGCGAAGTGCTGCGGCGCGTGGAGGAGGCCAAGCGCATCATGGAGCGCCAGCTGCTGGAGGAGCTGGAGAGGCAGCGTCAGGCCGAGCTGGCTGCGCAGAAGGCCAGAGAGGTAACGCTCGGTCGTTGGGAACGCAGTCCCTCACTGTCCCCAGCTCTGTCCCGTACGGCCCGCCCACCGCGCTCACGCCTCTGCTGGCCACGTAGAGGCTTCACAAACGCTCTGAGAGCCACAGCCTAATGTCACGTGCGCTCTCCAAACTGCCACTGGCTACTTACTGCCAAGTTTTATTCCTATGGGGAACTCTGAGGCTTCGTATACAGCTGCAACTAACCTTAAAGGTATAAAGGAGGATTTTCTACTTTCGGGGTGGATCATCAAGACTATTGGTCCTCCCAATTGTCAATCACGTGCTCAACAAAAAGTTGAGAGGGCGGTTCTTTCCTAAAATTTCGGAAAATTCTCTTGTATACCTATTAACAAACTTTATTCTACTGGTCTGCAATTCTTCTCAGTTAAAGCATGAATATAAATTTCCAAATATATGTTGCTGTATAGTCCAGGCAATAATTATAGGTAAAACATTGCCTGTCTCAAAATTTATTGAAATATTTTATACATGGTTAAGACATTTTTACTCATCTCATCTGATTTACCATTTCATTTTTGATCAGTTAATTATACAATCTGTTTTTATAAATGGTTGAAAACTTTTTAGTTTTCCATTTGTTTGTGCAAGATGCTGCTTACAATCGTAATGAATCATATTAGCTTCTTTCCTCTGCTCCATAATTCATAGACAAAAATAGATGAATAAAAGAGCAGACAGAAGAGGAATAGCTTTAGAAAGGTCTTATCAGCCAGTGTTCTTAAAACATTGATGGGCTAAAGGTAGAGTTTCCCCATAGGACTATAAACCAGACATGTGGCATGCCTTATGTGACTCGTACTTTAGCAACGGTACAATTTTGTGCTGGGTCTGAAGCATTCAATTCAAGATTTTTCCTTGAATGTTTTATCAAATGGCATACATTTTTAAAGGCCTTAAATAGATTACCTGAAAGTTTGTTTTGCTTAAGTCATTCTGTGGAACATTTTAGGAAAAGACATGATATTTTTTCATCTTTTTTGGTGACTGACACTTCACCAGAAAACCGTAACCCACATCCACTTGCTCCATTCCCTCCAGTGGACTCGCCTAGACCCTTTTGTCCCGAGCGGCTTTAGTTGAACGCTTTTGTTGACACTACAGACCTTAGTGGTAGTGAGTGAGTGGGCCAGCCAAAGCCCAGTGACCCGGCTTACATCGGGAACAGACCGGCCACCCCTCCTGCTAGGTGCGCGTCTACCGTCATTTGCTCCTATGAAAAGAAGTTTACTTTCAAGTTCTGCCAAGTCCAGAAAAACAGACAATCCTTAATCCTAGTTTTTTTTTTCCGTCTGGACATCTTGAAACAGTGTTAATTTTGTAGATGGAACGAGTGTGGGCAATATCAAAGTTCCATGTTTCAATCCAGATCCCCAAAAAATCCCAAAGAACCCAAGCACACAAAAAGACACTCGACGGAGAACATTTCCACAAAACAATCAGTTTAAATGTAAAACAAAAAAACATGTTACCTGATAATCTACCGTAAAATACATATTTTCTGTCAAAAATATTAGTCATGCATTGATCTGAGCCAAGTCCGGTTGGCGTTCTAAACCCCTCCCCTCCCTGTCACTTTAAAATGTATGTTTCAATGTTTCTTAGCTACAGCGGGACTCATGGCAATTCCCATCCTGTTTCCAACTGTCTTTGGTCTTTTTTCTGTCAAAGTATTTTTATTATCCTTTTTAATTTTGAAAAGATGTTTGGAAGCCAATCAAATGTACTGTGTTGTGTTCTCATGCCTTGTTCTCCTATAGGGTGCCTCAAAGTTCTGATACTGTTATGAATATGTATAAACATGTTGTTTTGACTTTGGAAACACCACTCGCGCTCTTCCTAACTAGCGTTGAGCGAGCAGACGGCAGCGTGTCCTGTACTGTAAGTGCGCCGTGGTGCGTTTCTCCCCACACACACAGACACACTGCACGCAGAGCACAAACTACTACACAGTGCTGCTACACTGTGACCTGCCCATGTCTGCTGAGGCCCACCACGTCCACTGGCCAAAGGTGCCCTCTGCTTCCTGCTTTTCAAACTCGCATGAGGAGTCGGGTGGACCTCAGGGGTGCACCTTGTCCAGCGTTTCATAATGAGTTCCAATGTGAATATTTGATTTGAGTATTTGAAGGTCCCAGTTGTTGCTCAGTACCAGGACCCCCGTTTACTAAGTGACTGATATTACTGCAGAGATTAATAATAATAATCTCTTAACGTAGGAATAGCACAACTAGACTGAAGCAAATCCAATAGAAACGTTTTGCAAACATTCATCAACATAGATAAATCTTGCCAGTCAGTACGGTACTGCACCATACTGTTATTTATGAGCCAAGTCTGTGTCTCTGATAGTTGATGCCAGTAAAATCCATATTTTGTGTGCATCCTTGTGCAGTGTACCAAAATAGTTTCTTAGTGAATTTAAGTTTCTCCAAAGTCCTATGCTCCTTCTCTGCTGGTTGGCCCCTGCGCCTTAAGTGTGGAGAACAGAAGGACACCTTTGTCTGGAGTGGAGGATGGTGAGCCTTGTGTTCAGACTGCTCAGTGTTAAACACTGGGCTGATGTGGCCGATTGTGCCACTAAAGTAGCCACAGTTACTGATAAACAGAGGAATGCTGAGGGCACGGTTTGGCCCTTACCTACATCTACCTCCTCCGCACCCACCACCCACCAACCAGGAGCGCTTCTGTCAGCAGGGGGCGCACTCCGGACCAGACAGTAAATGCAACCGTTTTAATGCTGACTCTCTCATCAGTTGTGTAGGTACACAGGCAAAGCGTAAATGGAAAAGCGTAGGTATACGTGCATTGGTGAGCCAAAACTATTCCCTACTTTTATTTATTTGTAACTTTCTCTGCCTTTTGATTAATGATGATGTTACCTTTTAGAGTGTACTGTCTGTCATTTTTAAATGTCTTATGACTGTGATGAGTGGGGTGCAATGCAATGTGGCCTAGGTTTCAATTATTTTCTCATTTTGTTAAAACAAAATTAAGGGCAGCACTAGAGGGAGGGCTTAATAGCAGAACCAGGGCTCATTTCTCCCTTCCAGTTTTGTAATAAAAAGCATTTGGGATGAGTGACGAGTGCTTGGAGCGGCTTCTCTGTGGACTGAGTGCAGTTTGCTTGTGAACCAGTGAAAGTGTGTGAGTGTGTGTGTGAATGCAACAAGAGCGGAGCCCGTCCCAGCGCTAACATGGCATCGTGTCTTCCGTCTAGGAGGAAGAAAAATCCAAGCGCGAGGAGTTGGAAAAAATCCTGGAGGAGAATAACCGCAAGATCGCAGAAGCTCAGGCCAAACTGGTACGTTCCACATTTCACTGGTCACTGCTGCTTCTGGACGACAACACTGTTAAGACACAAGTAACAACACACACAAAGAGGAGGTAGTTTTGTGCCCAGATAAGAAAAGGTATACATGAAAACTTGAAGGCGTGACTAATGCAAAGACAATAAGTTTGCTTTAAATAATCTGTCTGTTCCTAAACGGCACGACAGAGGGCCACAGCTTGAGACGCCGTACAGTGGTGTAAAGTGATCCTGGAACCCAAACAGCCTGTTGCACATCTGCTCCGTCTGCTCCTCTCCACAAGACCCTTTAAGACCAAGTTCTCTGGTCCAAGTCCCCAGGCCCCGGTGTATGTGAGAGGAGGCTGAGCTCAGAGCAAAGATGGAACCAACACACCAAGTCTGAGTCATTATGTAAAGTCGTTTATTTGCTTCAGACCCGTGTAGACAGATATAATCGCAAACAAAGATGAGAGGACTGGTTTGACCTCTGCAGCAGTCAACCTTCAGGGCATTTGGAACAGCTTCATATTTTCAAAAGATGATCACATTTAAAAGAAAATGTTTATCAAATGTTTTTTGAGGACATGTCATACATTCAAAACTATTTCAAAGGAATAATTTACCATTAGATGTAAATGTCCACGACCAATGTCAAATTAGTGGTGACTTTGTGTAGGACTATTTTTAGGTGGGTACGCAAGAGGTGGTTGAGAACCACTGTAATAGAAAATACATATAACTATTGTGTTTGCATAGTGAGATATTGAGTGTATAGTATTTATTTTCTCTAAACCTCCTTTGATTCATATTAAAATCATATTTAGAAGAGTGAAGAGAATCAAATGTTTTATTGCTTCCATGCAGTACTGCGCCATGTGGAAACTGCCCCGGGTGGAACGAGGGCACCAATCAGTTCTGTGAGCTCAGTGTGCTACTGTTTCACATTGTTTTATATAATTAACAAAACATCTACCACAATGAAATTGTAATGATAGCTTTTTTGTCATAACATTGAAAAAGGTATGCATCTTTCAGTTAACAGCTACAAATCATATTTTTGATTACAGATTTATTTAAATAATACATGAACATGAAATCTCTAAATTCTGCAGCAATAGACTCTGTGATGCACTTGCAATGCTGCTAATGGATTCCATGTGCAGTTTAAATGTGGACGCTCCAGCATCGATTGGTTGCTCACATTTTGGAGCCTAAGAATAGACCAGATCTTGATTATTACAGGAGGATTATTTCAATAATGAATTAGTTGTGATTAGCTGACCCATTTCAGCCTCAGTCGCCTGATAAATATTCAGTTTCAAACCATCCTAACAATAACATCTCGTTGCTTCCTTCTCCAGGCCGAGGACCAGTTGCGAATTGTGGAGGAGCAGAGAAAGATCCACGAGGAGCGCATGAAACTGGAGCAGGACCGGCAGAAGCAGCAGAAGGAAGAGCAGAAAATGATCCTGGGCAAAGGCAAGTCTCGGCCCAAGCTCTCCTTCTCGCTCAAGGCCACCGAGTGACCGCCGCCCTCCTCCCCCCTGCTCCTCCCCCTCCTACCGGCTCCTCTCCTCTGTGGACCGCACGCTTCGTTCTTGGAAGTGTTATCAATCTAAAAAACAAACGAGAGAAAAAAAGGGAAGGGACACAACACACCGGCCCACGCTCCTCCGCCGACCTCCACATCGCAGCGGTTTTATTTTTCAATATAGTTTTTTTCTTTTTAGGGATGAACTTTTTCCGTGTATAGAACGCTTGTCCAATTTTGAGTCTTAAGACAAAAAAAACTGTATGCCTTTTTACTTGTGTCGGCAGCCGGCGTGAACTCTAAACAAAATGTGGTCTCATTTTTTTTAGGACATTTAGGACGCAGAGATATGCGTAGGCTTTGTGTCACTCTGGGTTCTCGCGGGCAGCTTGGGAGTTGGATTGTGGATTATCCGTTTTAATTTTAAGAGCCGTAGATTGGGTAACCAATCTTTTCTCTAAGAAGGTAGAAGTACAAAACATCTCCAGCAATTCCTAAGCATTTGTTGTGTTTTAACAATGCCAGTTTTTATGGGTTTTTTGTGTCGCAAAATTTCCCATAAATCCCCCCCCCCCCCGACTCTCAATCTGCCCCCGTTATTCTTCGTCATGCTATTATCATAACACAACTATCTTCTCCTTATCACAGGGTTTAGAGCCGTGAATGCTAACGATCTTTTTTAATTTTTGAGAGGTCAGATTGATCTAATCCAATTAAGAAGGTTCTGTACTGTCCCTGAGTATTTGATGTAATGGAATAAGCCGTCTCACTTGGTAAGTCGTGTTGGATGGACAAGTCCAGGTAAGAAGCTTGGGGTCATGATTGAGTGAATGAATGAATGAGTGTTTGTGTGTGTGTGCGTGCGTGTGTGAGTTTGTGTGTATGTGTGACCTCAGGCTGGTGCGCTGAAATCTTCCTTGTGGGATTATTGAAGTTGTTGTGTAATTTCCCCCACTTGTCAAGGGACTGAACCGTTCAATAAATCCGTTGAATGCCGCAACGTTTGTCTAAGATTATTCAAGTCACTGGAAAACTAATAAAGATTCATTGATGTTTTAAAAATGTGCCATTTCTTACTCAAACTGGAAAACTTTAAACGACTTTTAGATTATTGATATGATTGATTGATTTGGCAAATGTGGCGGGTTGCAATAAAACCCTGAGAAATTTTAAAAGGAAAAAAATTGTTCATTCAATATAATAATTTTTGTTATATTTTGGATGTCTTTTTTTTGTTTTTTTCTGGATGACAGCACAGTTTAGGTATGACTTTGTTGACCCTGTGAATAAAGGATTAAGCTAACTTTTTGGTCAATACTAATCGTGGAATAATTCTGATTAAAGGGAAGGCTGTGTATAAAGAGTATAATGGGAGTATGTCATATTTTTATTTTGACGTACAGCTTTTATATCTGTCCCGAGATTGTTAACGTAAAATTTGAATCCATTGAATTTATGATCACAATTTTACAGCAGATTCTATATCCAACCAGAGAAGAAAGAGGCTCTCATTTGGGTTGCCAGTTTGTAGATAAAATTTAGCCGGACGTCAATTCAATATGTGTATTGCCCAAATCATAACAGCAGTTGTCTTGAAGGACTTAAATACGCTTTTGCCAACAACAGATCAGAGAATCAAAATAGCTACTGAAAAATGTTCAAAAACAGCTATAGTTGATTAATATACACATACTGTACAATAGCAGGAAAAATTTACCAGAACCTCTACTTAAAACATGGGAAATTATTATATCGTATACGCCAAGCCTTTTATCATTTTGGATGATTATGGTTAACGGTCCATTTAATTCTGGACTTGATTTGAGTTTTTATAAGCTGTTATCAACAATTCAACAAATAAAGGCTTGATATTTCTCACTTAGTGTAGTTTAAGTGAGAAGTTTGACCTATAACATAAAACTGACGTAAAAGGACTTTTGAGCGATACTCTAATCTTTCCAAGTTTCACCTTAAATGGAGAAACTTTCGATTTCTTTACTCAAATAATTACAAAAGCAAGAGAATACTACCACCAGCACGTCCCATGTACTTCAGATGTGAATATTTAATCATGGCGCTGATACATTTTCCCCCCTGTCTTGAACATAAATCAAAGTGTCTCCTTCCATTGTCTGTAATAGATTTTAATGGCATCACTGGCAGCGCGCAGTCTTTCCGTCAGCGGTCTTCACGCCGTGCCCTTGAGGCGTGCGGCCGATACATCAACGTCCTCTTAAAGGGGAAAAAAAAACAGTTAAAACAAAACGCGCTGTGCTAATCATCTGGCAGCCCTTATTTGTACCGACAGGAGCTTTGTTTTGAGTCAAAGAAAAGCTGAAATGACAAAAGCAGAGTCTTCGAGTGAATGAAAGTCACATTAGCTCAGACACACCACGCATCGCAATGTTTGGAAGTGATTATTCTACGGCTTTCAAGTTTTCAAGTGAAGTAGTGATGGCGGATTTTTCTGTGTGTATTATGGACATTGGTCATCTACCTCTTATTGTATATAGCAGTAGTTTAAAAAAAATTGTACATGTTTTAATTGTATGCATGGCTTTTTCTAATTTTACTTTTTAATTTGTTTGCACAGAGAGCCAAAACAATATCCTAGTTTGTGACTTCTTCTTATTCACATTGGCAATACAAAACTATTCAGATTCTGATGGACCGATGGTTTAAACGTTTTTATGATTAAATTTCTTGTGTTTGAACAGTTTGATTCTCTGATCTGTGTTTACAAATTCAACAATCCTCTGAGATAACTACTGTTGTGAAAATGTGTTGCAAAATATGTAGTAAATGAATGCCCAAATTACCTCTATATGCTTCTCAAAGTCTCAAACTCAGAAGAAAGATGTCTCCAGCTGTCATTAAAAAGATTTGACATTAAAGAACAGACGCCTTTTTATTTCATCTTTTACGTCTAAAATCTATGTTAATTAACTATGAAAGATTAGGCACATACTGTAGACCAGGGGTGTCCGAACGTTTTAGTAAGAGGCCACTTTAGTTCACCAGACTTGTCCAGGGGCCGACAACATGTTTTGACTGGATTTGGACTTGTTCTGGGCTTTACAATGAGGAAGGAATTGTCCGTATTGATTCACACCACAGCTACATTAGTGCCATGTATGAGATTTTGTGACCCAATAAGGAACCAATGTCAGTAAAATGTTACTGGCATCCAGAGGTTCTCAGCTTTACAATGAGTTATAGCAAGAATATTGGTGGAAGTTAGCTGGATGACACTGTGAAACAACCTCAATGGCTGTTTTGTGTTAGCGATCCAGAGGGTAGCTGTCCTTTGTTTGGAAATGCCAGCAGAAGGCCATGAAATAGAACTTGCCCCAACTACAAAAGAGATCGTTTATTCATCCCACAATGGGGAAATGTCAGTGTTGTATCACAAGTTACAGACAGCAGGAATGAGGAGCACACAGCACAAGATGAACTCTATTCTAAAATAAAATCTCTAACTATAGTATAAAAAGAAGCAGTATAAAATCTCTATCTTTAGCAAAATAAACACAGACGTCTAAAATCTAAAATTTTTGCAGGATGGAAAAGCAACACTTAAGTACACAACCCCCTGACTTTAGCTTAAAGAAGCAAGTATAAAAAACAAGTGCAAGTAATATATAAGTGTATATATTCAAAGCACGTGTCTCAAATCTACATTTTTAACCAGTTTAGGTGAGGCTTGAGCAGCTGTCAACCACCATAAGCTAAAACTACTACTTTACTCCTATTACTACAAAACTGAAAACAATTAAACAATTATACATTTTAAGGTAAGAGCTTACACGCTTGAATGGAGTGTTTTTTGTTCTATATTCAAATACATTTAGGACGCTCTTGAACAAAACAGTTGAGCTTTAGTCATGTTATAATCACAATTACTTTTGTCTCGTAGTTATATTGAGAATATACATTTAATAATAGCACTGAGTGGGCTTATATCTGTTCTTTCATTGACATTTAGGACGAGGAGAGGAGACTAGATTTCAGTCAGTACGTGAGATTGAGTCCAAGACAATGACAATTTGTCTCATTGTCTTGGACAAAATATTAGTCTGAGACAAAGCCTGGCTCCCACTACACCCGCTGGATTAGACCAGAAGCAGAAGTACAAACTAATACTATTTTTAAGGCTTAATTGACAGTGCATACTTTGACTACATTTCAAAGCGTGTGTCTCCATTCTACACTTTTAACCCTCCTTAACATCAGCTGAGGCAAGACAAATACCATTTGTATTACCGGCTGGTAGACTTGTACTATACTTCTAAACAGCTGAACTGTCTTTAAAAAAAAGTTTTTTTATAATTTCCATATTATTGTCTGTAGTGAGAATTTGCATTTTTGATTAGTGAATTAACACATTATTTCAAGACAATATACATACAAATGAAAATAGTTTTGACCTTTGATTGTTGGGACCTAATATACTTGGTAATAGGCATGTAAACTACGATCATATAAACACTGTATAACTTTTTTTCGTTTAATATTTACTTTTTAAGCAAGTTATAGTGAAGTCTGTGGGTTAAGCTCTCACTTCAGCAGTATGCACAGGTCTTCACTAGCGCGGCTCCAGACCATAGACCCAGGGCTCCCTCCTCCTCTGTGGGCGGCCTCGGGACTCTTCGAAGCCGGGGAGAGCGCGCTGCAGGTCGGCTTCGAGAAGGCTCCTCACCCGCGGCCTGGCGCTCGCACGGACGGGGGCACATGGAAGTCAAACACACGCAAGGCACCAGCAAAAGAAGACACGGAAAAGAAGTGTGTTGCTCGTAAAACAGTCAGCCTATTTAGTGTTTAATTGTGTTAGAAAAGTAAGGCGGTTTTAAGGCTGAAGTAAGTAAGGTAGCAAGTATAGATGCAGCATGACTTTTGAGTGAAAAATATTAACATTAGAAAACAAATTAAAACTATAAAACAATAAAACATAAAAATTGAAGTTAAAATTGCATCTGCTATACTAACTTTACCATGTTACTTAACTTGCTAAAAAGTTCAACATTCAGACCATAAATAGTTAGCCACAAGTTAACTAAATAGCTCATATGCTAATTTAACATTTTGATTAGCTTAGGGGAATTCTTTACGGTAACTTGTATGAAAATGTATTTGGTGAAATGTATACAAAATGCTATTTAATATATGATAAATTTAACATCTAATAAAAGAATAAAGGATAACTGTAAACAGGTTGACTGCAACTAGGCTGCTAAGCTAACCAGCTAATTATTTACATACAGGCTTGCTCTGAAAGTTTGGAATCAGAAGCCGCTTTCAACAGGTATAGAAGTAAATTATCCTTATACATATTGAAAAATTGTTTTGAAACTTTTGAAAAACCAGTGCAAACAGTCTGAAGTTCAAGGAAAGAATTTGGCTTTGTTTTTGAGTCGTTCCTTGCGTCAACATTTATGGACTTTGGTCATTCCATTCAAATCAATTCATTTTTGTAACAATAACAAACACATAGAACCATTGGTTCATAGAGAGCGGGATGACTACACCATCCCTGAAAGTGCATTATTTTTATCGCCAAAAATCACGCAGATATCGCGAAGGGCGTCACAGATTTGTTGATTTGCCAATGAATTAGAAAATCATACACTAAACTAAATATGACAGTCAAGATCTCAAGGCGAAATGTAAATGCTTTTTTGCTAGTTTAAAAAAAGTGTAATCAGATCCAGGCTGTCGTCGTAATGTCTTGTGATTTTCGGGAGCTTTTTCTCCTTTTAAGAAGTTGACATAAAGAATAACACATTAGTTCAACCTATAGATTTGCATTTCCCAATCAACACTCTTTCATTAGGCCTAAGTTGGAGCCTATCTCTTTTAGACTTTTCACTTCCCATCTTACAATCCCCCTTTGACGCTAATTTAAATGTCACACCTAAACAAACTGCTTCTTTTGCGAACAGGCTCATAATGTTATCTCCGTGGAGCGAGGTGCCAAGCTTTCACACTTTCCAACCACTTAATTTGATCACGGCTTGTGCGGCGGGCCAGCTGCCTGTTAGCTTAAGCTGATAGGGAAAGATCACCTGCCTATAGTGCGAATTCTGACAACCAATTACCAGTTTGTTGATTGGTCAGTCCTTTGATTTGAAATGCAATACAATTTTGGTTTTATCTGCAGTTTAGAACGGTGTGGGTTTGTCATTGAAAACTATTTTATATAAACTTTTTTGTCAAGGTATTTTTACGTTTATAGGGACAGAGTTTAAAAACGAGGACTACAGCCTGCGTCCTGGATCTATTGCCTGTCCGTCCGTGAGAGCAGATCCCTCTCTTCATGTGGGCCTCCAGAGGTTTCTCACTTTTTTCGGAGGCGTTACTTGCCGATGCAGGAGGGTTTTAGGACAGTGATTATTCAGAACATTTAAGGACATTTATGGACATTGGTCATCCTGCTCGCTTTGACTCAATGGCTCCTATTTGTTTGTTATTATTCCTAGGTTCGAACCGTTTGATTCTCTGATCTGCTGTTGGTGAATCAATTTCTTAGTAAAGTACTTTGAGACGACTGCTGTTGTGATTTAGGGCTATACAAAAATACATTGAAATGGAAATGAACATTAGCCAAAAGGAGAGATGCCTTGTTCCAGGTTGTAGCAGGAGTAAAACAGAACAAACCAAACTTTACACATGAGACAGAAGTTACAATTTAATTTATCATACATTGGCAGTACATTTGAAAGGATTTGCTTGGTTTAAACCTGGATTTTCACAAGACGACTTGATAAAGAGTTGCAATATGTTTCTAAAGGCGCTTATTTAGTTATTTATTGATTTTTTTGATAGGGACACAATCAACATGTGAAACACTACACCATTCATAGCCAAGGATAATTTGCAATGTCCATCCCTACCCATTGAAAAGATTATTTCACACTTTACTTTACATTACATAAAGGCAGGTGTTCCCCAACGAATCTGTTTTTGTCTTATGTGTAGCCTAATTGAAGAGAGCCTATTCGCTTCCAGGGAGGAGGTGAGTTGAGACCAGCCCAGCGCTCTGTGGGACCAGGACCAGGGTCTGTGTGAGAAAAGGGAGACTGTGCTTCCATCTGTGTGTGTGTGTGTGTGTGTGTGTGTGTGTGTGTATTCCAGCCGCCGGGACCTCGGCTCAGCCAAAAGGTAAAGAAATGTTTATTAGCGCAGATTACAAGAGTGGAGTTAGCGTGTTTCTGACACAAATGAGCCATGTGTCGAGTGTGTGGTGTTGTAATGTGTATTGGGTTAATGCAGGTTTGATTCTACAGCATGTAAAAGGCTTGTAATGTTCAGTGTTATTAGTTAATTGAGTTGTTACAGCTCTATATGAAATGTTAGCACTATTTTGACCTCCTAATCTCGGCTGGTTTTGCCTCCGAGTGACCAGAAAAAAGTCCGGGTGACTTTATATTGATTCCGTTTGAAGTTCCAGTTTATTTCTTCTTGTGACTGCACTATGAAATCAAAGATTAGTTTATTCTCTTTTTTAAAAAATTAAACTTAAAAAGTAAAGCAATTTCCCAATCAAATATGTTCTTTGACAATATGGCACAACAGATCTTTTATTTGACAAATCTTTGTATGAATTTTAAAACTCAAAATAAGAGTTATTATTATTACAAGGCTATGTATTTGGAAGTTTTACAAAAAATAAAACTTCCCAGAATTACAACAGAAAGTGTATATTTGCGTTACAAACAATGTTGCTGTGATAAGGTGGTCCCCAAAATGAGTTGTTACCAAATATTTAATGACTTTTTTTTTTACAGCAAAAGATTAATATAGCTGTCTTGCATTATTGTAAATGTAATCAAAGCAATTACACTAAACATTATATATATATGTTTAATTAATTATAATAAATGTATTAAGAGGCTGTTTCAAGATTCCCGACTTCAATATAAATTATAAATGTAAAATGTTTATGTTTATCTTGTTGACACATTTAATTTAAAAAAAAAAAAAAAAATTCGAATCTGCACAACATATATTTTCACATATATCAAAATTAATGACAAATAACTGGTACATAGTTCAAAAAGGGGTTGGATGAAGTTAAAGGCTTATTTGATTCCAGTTCCCGTGTCACCCATGTCGAACAATACACTGCTATAATAAGGTTGTAGAATTAAAAAACACAGTATAACAAAATATGACACTACCACTGATGGCACATAGGCGCTAAAATCAAATAATAAACAGTCTATAACCTTATGATAGAAAGATTTGAGGTATGAACAAAATAATCTCCTGTTTACAAAAAATATGACATAGAATTCAAATGGTCAAGTGGCGCAAAGGCTGCATGAGATTATGTTTGTATATTTACGAATGCGTCATTATATTATGACTAATTCATCCTTAAACCATCTCTTGAAAAAGCAGAAAGTGAAAAATGCCGCAGACAAATTCAGTCAAATTTTCAACAAATATGACTCTAAATTAAACTTTTTTTTAATCCCCTGCACATTCTACACTGCTCTATCACTTCTAGATTTGAAGAGCCTCCACTCACATTAAAAAGATTTATTTTTCATTGCCCAAACACAGCATATCAGTCAGTCCTCTCTTTGAACTGGCTTTCCCTGCCGCGTGTATCCGCTAGTGGGCGCTGGTGCTCCACGGAAAAGACGCCTCTGCTGCTCCGCGCGCTCAAGGTAAGCCCCAATGCATTCCTATCGGGTTTCTTCTATTGTGCCGTTTACTGTGGAATTCTCATTCAAATCCTGCAAAGAACGCGATATGATCAATTTCCACACTGCTAATATTATTTTTAGATTGTAACGTTTTTTTCTTCTTTTTTTAAGTTATTGATTTCTATCTATATATATATATATATTTGAATGTTTTCATTTGATTGTTATACCGAATTAAATGTCTTCAAAGTTGATAGAAAACAACTGTTAACTATCTAAGGTAATGGGATACCAGTGTGCATGCGTGCGCGTGTATGTAAGCATTGTACGTATTTTATTAATAGTTTCCTTTCTCGTACTTTGTTTTTCAATTCGATAGTAACCTATGCAGTATATGCTTATTGTACATCAATATTTACAGTTTATGGTAGAAATACTCTCTTTGTATGGGCATATATGTTTAAATTAAAGTAGTACAATTATTCAAGCAAATACAGTTTACACGATGAATAACTCATATGTGTTCTGTCTACATTCTCTCTTTTTGTCCGTGACTCCCGTGCAGGCAGTTTTGATTGACAGCACAGCTCCCCAACGCGCAACCAATCAGCGGTGCTCTGGGGGGCGGAGCGAACGCGGAACGCTGCTCAAGCAAATATTCCCAGTCAGTCGCGGTCACTCGCAGTTACTTCGCGTGCAGGTTGGAAAGCAGCAGCAGCAGCAGCAGCAGAGATCGCAGAGCACCACAACTACCACCACACTGGCTCTTCTATGCGGATAAGCAAGGACTTGAACCACGGGCACAGGTTGCACTTTCTGGATCTGCGCTTTTTTTTCTCCCATCCTCTTGGACTTCTACTGGTGGACCTTTTTTTGTAATGAGAACTTCCATTCCAGCTCGTTTGATTTCTCCCATTTTCACATTCGACCATTTTCTCCATTTGTTTGTTTTTCTCATTTTGACAATCACCAGTTGAGAAAAAAAAACAAAACATTGGAACCCTCTCTCCCTTCAAAAAAAAAAAAAGCCATTCCACCACCACCAGCAGCAACCATCTACGTTTTATATTTTTAGTTTTTTTTATACACGTTGTCTGTCTACTTCTGCTCCTCTTTGCTCACGCGTCCTGTGGATTGTTGTGGACTATAATAACAACGCAAAGGGATTTACTTACTGCAGTTGGGTTTCTTCTCTTGTGTTTTCTACACCCCGGCCACTTGTTCTCTCTCTCTCATAGGGATGTATGGGAGCGAGGTGAAGAAGTGTGCGCTCTGAACAATTTGGAGAATATATCTAGGCGCGCGGTCGCTACTCTATACACCACTCTCCAAACCCCCCCAAGCCGTGCGTCTTTTTGGAGATGCTCTAGCGGCGTCTCCACACCCGGGATATAAAAGCAGAAGGCGCCATCCCCGTATCTGTGCGTATTCGGAGTGCTTTTTCTCTCTCTCTCTCCCCCCTTCTCTCTTCCACATTTCTGGCACGGATTGCACCGACGCGCAAGGACCACCATGGGGGACTCGACGTGGAGATATTACCTTGGAGTTTTGTTTATTGCCTTCAAATTGGACTTGTCCCGGGCGCTCATCCTCGAGTCCATATATTGGAACACGACAAACACCAAGTAAGTAAATGTACCCATGCAACGCGCGCCCAACACACAAATGCACGTAGGCACCTCAAATGAAGGCACGCTCTAGGCAAAAAAGCAAGAAAGAAACAAGCTATTTTAGTGTGGTTTTCAACAATTGTTATTATCTGCCTAATGTTTCAGCCTCGCCTTTGTTAACACAATTTGCACAGCTTTCGCACTGAGTATATGTGCGTAATGGAGAGCTATATGTCCTTCCACTGCAGTGTTGGAACATTTCTCCACACATTTCCACGCGCGTACATCTCGAGACAGGATACATACACGCTGGTGCGGTGGTCCTGGTGAAATAGACCCTCTCTTGTACGTGGAGCGCGCCTGGCTTTTACGCACAGCGGTGAGGCGATGTTGACGCCGTGGGCCCCGCTTTGAATGCGTATTTTGTCTCTATGTGCCCGTTGAGCAATAGTGATCAGAAGTAAACATTACAGGAGAATATGTTGAGATAAATTATGTTTTTGGTGGGATTTGGGTGTTTGCAGCTCAGTTTGAGGGCTGTATGTGCCCGTATGCGTGGGTAATGTATGTCCTGCAATGGGACAGGTCGAGGTTCAGTGCAGACAGGCCCGAAGCTGGACTCTGGGAGCGTAAAGTAGGCGCAGGGTCGGCCATTTGGAAACTGTTTATCTGCTATTTCACACAATAAAGCCCCAGCACCTAATTACACATAATTATTATTCTGTAATTAGTAGTTTTGTTAAGTACTGTAACATTTAAGAGGTGAATAGCCAAATTGAACCTAAATAACAACTATACTCATCCATGCGTATACATAATTGTATATACTATGTTGTTTAATGCATTGTAAACATGCAGTAGTATTAGACATAGTTAAAAAAAAAAATACTATCAATATTGACTAAGCCTTTTTCATATTAAAAAAGCAGTGTTGGTTTATTTGACCATATGCACATAAAATAGTATATAATCCTTCCAACCCAAATTGTTGCGTGAATTTAATAAAAAATGTTGGAAAACTTTGGTCATTCTTGACATACATTTACTATTTTGCTTTGAAAAAAGTTAGGACACACTTTTAACTTTGCTTTGTCTTTTCGTTGAAGTTGTTCACAAGTAAAACCAAACACAATCCACAATTGGAGTTAGTCTCCTCTGTGCAGACATTTTTAAAACATGAATTATATTACTTTGTGGATGGTTTGAATAGAGCATTGTCCAATAGTTTCCACAGTGTCTGCCCTGCCGTACAGCTCACAGGACGTCCCATAGAATACCAGCTCCGCTTCCTGACCATATTCTGCCTAAAATTCAAATACCCCCTTTTTTACTATCTGAATTCCACTCATAAATATTCCTACAGTGCTTCACGCGCGGTTGAACCCTGCGCTGGGCTGATTGAACAGCCTGTCTCTCTGCTGCTCTGCCCCTGGCCCGAGCCTGGCAGGGGGCGCTCCTCTTTGTGGGCCGCTTCGTCACGCCTGGCTCCTCAATAACTCAGCTTTTGGCACCAGTGCAACCTCCAAAAAATCGTTTCTTTTTCACCCCCTGTTTTTCCAGACATAAGCTAGATAGTGACATCTAACAGGTGTCCATTGTGATTCCAATCTCAGCGTTCCAAGCACCTGGGTCTTTTGTGTGCCCAGACCTGCTTAGGGATTTGCAGCCTCTGTCTCAGGCTCGAAATGTAGAAAGGGGCATATTGGGGTTGCTGCAAGGGACTTGATGGTGCCAAATTTAGGACAGGAAAGCATTCAACACTTCATAAACATTAATAATTTAAAGTATAATATTGCCTTTTCGTTCAACTGTCAATTATTGAAAACCAGACATTAATCTCTTTCTAGATGCAACTTTGAGCGAGTAGTACATAAAAAGTTGTTGTTTCTTTAAAATGTTTCCATGTCCCAAAAAAGTTCTAATACTGAGTTCAAAGTGACCATTGAAGAGCCTCATATATAGTCACTATAGTGGTATCAAAATTGGTTTAGAGTATGGGGTATTTTTTGTAGCTTTGATATGGAGTTTGACATTTAGTAACACTAGTTTGACTCGTACTAGTGTGTTTTTGTCAGATTACAGTCCATATGTACCCAAATGTATATGAATTCAACTGTATATTTTCTCAATTCAAATTTTTAAGTCTTATAAAGGTCTTGAATGTCAGTTGACCAAGCCCGCAGCCACCCTTGTTACTGCCAGGGCCATCTGACGCCTTTTGAGATGACACCATTTTGAAGAAGCTACAATTAGTTCTCGCTTTCACCCACAGTCTGCTCAAATGGCACTTATCGCATCTGTAAGATAAAGCTTGCATTGTCAAGTAGGCGCAATCTGATAACCTTTTGGGGAAGACAAACATTGACGTTTTCAATGCTAATATAGAGTTACACTTTTTAGTAATGAATAAACTTGCATGTGGCAAATGATCTAGTAATATGTTTCCCCATATTTTTGTTTTTGTGTCAACAACAAAAATCTTGTTTTTTCTGTTACAAAGGTCTTACAACAACAAACTACATTCATGCTTTACCCCCCCCAAAGCCATTTTCCTTGCTTCCACTTACTAATTTGTTCTTAAAACACTATTTGAATGAGCCTAGTGCTTCCTAGTTTGCCATTTTGCCACAGGGAAAACTGTCCACCCTCGGACCAAGTATAGGTTGCCGAAACGCATTGCTACCAGGGCCATGGGGATTGGAATTAGCCCGTGTGTGCGCATTCTTGGCGTGGGTTAGCAGTTCAGAGCCAATAGGCCACAGTGGGAGCTTGTTTAGGACAGGACGCCTCTTTTATTTTGGGGAAATACCTCAGCATTGTCTGGTGAATGGGACTTAATGTGGTTCATTGCTGATTGAAGTAGTTTGCAAAATTATGTACTATGAAAATAGGTAGGTGGATAGCTTGAAACCGTATGGACGCAATAGTAGTAGTAATTGTTGTTAAAGCTTGACAAGCATATGTGACAAAAGTGCTTATTACCATCTTACTTATCCATAAACAGAATTGCCTATTAAAGATCTAGTTCAAATTTGAAACGAGTTCTGACTTCAAGCTGTTATAACTTCATCTTGATTGGCATCTTAAAGAGGGCATTGACAAAGTTGGCGATTGAGTATGAAGTTCTAAAAAAATATCAAAGTTTTAGCAATTTCTCTCAGTTCTACATCTTGAACCTTCGCTGAAAGTTGACCATTCATGTCGGCTCATGCTCCGGGGCAGTCTAATGTCTTTGTGTGTAAGCTCAGGCTGGAGGTTGCGTATAAAGAAACACACATAGGGGAAAAAAATCCCTCCACAGTAGGGTTACCCCTGCTGTCGTTTAAACCTCATTGTTGTTTACTCCTGACTACTTTACCGCTTTTACTTAAACTTAAGTTAGTCAATGACCCTAACACCATCTCAAATCTCCCCAAATTCTCCTTACAGCGCTTCTTGCATTCGTCCACCACTAATCCATTTTGTAGTTGGGAGAGAGAAACAAAAGCTAGAGCCTGCTTTACATGCTCTGTGTAAAAAAGAAGCGCTCCTTCTCCTCCAGTGCAGTTCATTAAGAGATTACACACAGCCAACCCAAAGGGCCTTTGTGACCGGGCAGCGACGGGGGCACCTCTCCGGGTCTTTTCTCTCAGCTCAAAGGGGGGCAGTTGGGGGGGATAGAGATGCAGGTTCATCGTGAATTACTGACGAGGCTCTGTTCTCTTCCCGTCGGGTAGAAAAACCTCCCCGGAGTGCTTCTAATTTAGCCACTTCTCTCCTTGACAGAAAGAAAAATGGCTTGCTTTAATTTGGAGACACTGGGGCTGAGGTGGAGGTGAAGGTTTGGCGGAGACAACATGGCACCAAACATGGCGCTGGTTTGTTGCTCTCGCTCGGGTTTCATGAATTTTAATAAAAGTTAACGGGTGTGCGGCGGCTTCTGGCCAAGTCAGAATGGTGATTAGCTGTGAAGTAGGGAAGAGAATGTCTAAATTGTGGATTCTTTATGACCGTCTGTGTGGTTTCAATTAGATCTGGGGATAATAGGTGAAATTTCAACTACCAAGGTCCAAAATATGTGTTAATATTTGAAAATGTCACTGTGACCTTTTCATAATGCAGTATTAAGGAACGAGGTATGCAAAGTCAACTGTTAGAGGGCTGACACATTTACATTCTTGTCAAAAAAGATCAGAGTTATATTCACAACGCCATTTCTTTGACTATTCCCCGTTTTTATTGCCTCTAGTATGCAACCACTTATATTTCTCTCACTTCAGAATATGTGTCTGTGGTCTTTTGGGACAACTTTAGCACTTAGCTTTTTCATCTGCTTTGTCACGATGTTGTCAGGCGTGAAACACAATGTTTTATAACTATTTATATTAACAATGCTCAGTTATTTAATACTGTGTCCAGGAGTCTAGTTACTAAAGCAAACCAACGCATACTATCTTCTCTGAGCTGTTTTCACATAAAAAGTCTTATATTTGCATAATACTGATTCAACATCTATTCAACACAAGTCCTGTCCCCCCACATTTGACCCCCACATCTCACACTTGTTTGATCAACGCCAACAGCGAGGTCACAAATTAAGATACAGTAATGAAAGAATAGAAAACGAAACATTAAAAGGCCTTAGCATAAAGCGGGCGTCTCTGGGGGCGAGGGGAGCGTAATTACGTCTGGTCCTGCCTAGATCCCACTGGTCACAGGATTTGGTCGAGATGAAAGCTTGGCTCAAGGCAGGGGTTTGATAGCAGAACCTAAGAGCAGCGCATCCGCACACACACAGGGGCGACTGATAATAAAGCCCCCAGTCCCATCAACCGGCAGAGGGCGAAAGCTGCACCGAATCGTCCCAGGATTAACCCTCACTAGACTCGGCTTGGCCTCTTTTTTGTCTGCTTGCCTTAATGAATCCGCACGTCCCAAACAGTTGCTCTCTGGCTAAAGCTAACCAGCCTCGGCCCCCACCCCGTGTTTGCTCATAACTTCAGGGCCACAGGAAGAGAAAGAGGGGACAACGTTAT